GTAGTAGTAGTAGTAGTAGTATTATTATTAATTAGGAAGTGTCTACGGGTACGGTAGCCGTATCTTAATGTCTCGAGGCTACGGGTACGGGAGTCCATTCGCTTTCATACTTAACGAGACAAAGATGGCGGCGGTGGCGCCAGATTTCGAAATAACGCCTTGGGAAATAAATTAACGATTTGAGAGTTTAGATGAGCTAGAACCCTAACCCTAACCCTAACCATAACCCTAATCCTAACCCTAACCCTAACGCTAAAAAGGGGCGTCAACGACCGACGGCTACCGTACCCGTAGCCACTGCGTTATAATTATTATAATTATGCGGTTGTGATTCAGGTAAGAATAGAATACCGAGTTTCTTTGTACTATATGTCACATTCGGCACGACAAGACTAGAGTCTAGAGTAGCCCGACCAGTCTGTGCGACGGATTGTCTATACAATTCTATCCCTAGCAATACCGTTTCTTGGAGCTAAGTCTAGAGTAGACCGAATAATTCTGTCCCATATAACCTTTTTTATATTTTGGTGAGGGTTATTTGGACAGAACGGGGTTCATTGAAATTTTGTGAGATCGCATGCAAAATGCATGCGCTGCTAATGCGGCCCGTACGCCGCTATTGGCGCGAAAAAAAACCTACCGTTCCCTTCAACATGGCTTTACCTTGCTACTGATATGTGTATACATTCACTTCCTAAAAGATTGTTTTTCAGAAACCCCGCTTCATTTAACTTTAGTAAATTACGTTCGCCATTTACAAACAATCAGACCAATCAGAGCGAGTCTTACAATTTAGCCCCTGGTTCTCGCTTGTATCTGTGGCGCTGCAGGAGGCCTGATAGACTGGCGTACGGGCTGCATTAGCAGCGCATGCATTTTGCATGCGATCTCACAAAATTTTAATGAACCCCGTTCTGTCCCAATAACCCTCACCAAAATATAAAAAGGGTTATATGGGACAGAATTATTCGGTCTAAGTCTAGAGAAGAGTAGACTGTGTAAAACAAGTCAAGTGTCGAAAACTTTTAAAAACAGAAAGTCCCATCATCAATGACATCATGCATTGCGAACCTGTACTAGTGCACAGGCACTTGGAGCGTTTCAATAAAATATAATGATAAATAAATACGAAATCTATTTACTACCAAAGACTTAATGTTTCTATACTCTCTTTCACCTATTATTGCCGACAATTTCCTGGAAATGCCGTCCAAATGCTCATCTGTAACAAACGCTGGCTGCCGCTGCACACTGACACATTTTCATTTATATATCTGACGGCTGCTGGGCACGGTCTTCGATTTCCTAAATGCCCGGCAGTTTTTAGCTCATCTGACATAGTTAGATGCAGCTTGTAGGGTCGCATGAGTGTGCGTCCGACCATGCGTGCGTCCGGCCGTCCGTCCGTCCGTCCGTCCGTCCGTCCGTCAACAGTTGGGCACAAATCTTAACCGCTTGACGTACGGTCACGATATTTGGGACGTCGGTGGGGGATCGTCAAAACGAGTTGGGATGTACAAAGCCTGACGAAATTCTCGCGTTCGCTCCCGTTGCGCAGTTTATGTAAATGGCTGCAAGTACAGGGCTATAGGCGGCGCAGTGCATTTTGGGAAACTACCACGCTGCTTTCCAACTCCCGTACGAGCCTCGTCAAAGCCGCCAGTGGAGCGTTGCGGCACAAAAATGAGGTCACGAAGAGCGCCGGTGGGTGTTTTCTGATTCTGACAGCCATTTATATAAACTGCGCAACGGGAGCAAACACGAGAATTTCGTCAGGCTTTGTGTGATTTCGCGTGACACAACTCGGTTACGAACACAGACAGTATATTTTTATAACAAGTGAACACTGTTCTTCAAATAGAAACAAGGATGGAGTAGAATGGTTGAATATTTGTGTTGTATTCGTGTGAAATCAAGCGAACGTCGAGCAAATTTTTATTTATATATTTATATATGTCAGTGTGCAGCGGCAGCCATGGCGGCAGCCAGCGTTTGTTACAGATGAGCATTTGGACGGCATTTCCAGGAAATTGTCAGCAATAATAGGTGAAAGAAAGTATAGAAACATTAAGACTTTGGTAGTAAATAGATTTCGTCAGCACAGGCACTTGGACCGTTTCAATAAAATATAATGCTAAATAAATTAGAAATCTATTTACTACAAAGTCTTAATGTTTGTATATATACTCTCTTTCACCTATTATTGCCGACAATTTCCTGTAAATGCCATCTAAATGCTCATCTGCAACAAACGCTGGCTGCCGCTGCACACTGATACATAAATATATAGCAGGTAGGAAACCGTGCTGCCAAAATTCGCTCGACGCTTGCTTGATTTCATACGAATACAACACAAATATTCAACCATTCTACTCCATCTTTGTTTTTATTTGAAGAACAGTGTTCACTTGTTATAAAATCATACTGTCTGTGTTCGTAACCGAGCTGTGTCACCCGAAATCACACAAAGCCTGAAATTCTCGCGTTCGCTCCTGTTGCGCAGTTTATGTAAATGGCAGTCGGAATCAGGAAACACCCACCGGCGCTCTTCGTGACCTCATTTTTACGCTGCAACGTTTTTGCAACGCTTCACTGGCGGCTTTGACGAGGCTCGTACGGGAGTTGGAAAGCAGCGTGGTAGTTTCCCTAAATGCAGTGTGCCGCCTGTGCCCTGTACTTGCAGCCATTTACATAAACTGCGCAACGGGAGCGAACAATAGTTTATTAATTGCCGCAAGTTGCTGTCTACATATGGGCAATTCCATGATTAGTTACGTTACACTTTATGGTCATTTTTACTCTAAGGTTGGCTTCTACATGAAGATGCTTTGATATTATGTTTCTATTTTTGTAGTGTCAATACCTCTAGACAAAACCTACTTCACACCATAAAACAGAATCATGAGACACATTTCAGTAAATGATAACAAGAACTTTAATTTCGGTTAGTTACGTTACATAAAGAGGACATGGAAAAAAATGACAAGATTTTGTCCCCAAAGTTTCCTCAAACTAGGTTCAACTAAAACAAACTGTGACATTCATGTTATTGCTGGTGTCTTGGCAAGTTATTTGATATGAAACATTTTAGTAATAACTTTAAAAATTTTCACAGTAACAACAAAAACATGGTTAGTTACGTTACGGTTAGTTACGTTACACTTTGTCCATGCATCAAAAAAATGCATTTGGTCATGTTTTTCTCACACCTAGTGTGCATGTGCACCTCAAAAACATTGTACATTCTTCAGTTTACATTTTCAACACATATTGTGTTCCTATCTGGATAAAAGTGTTAAGTGCTTAAGTTGTGCTTAAAATTATCATCTCTTCATTAATGCCTAAGCTCAACACAAACTTATTTGCTCATGCTGCCAAAGTAAAGTAAATGCTAGCCTAAGTAAAGTAAGTATGATATCAAACAGTGATGACCTACATGTGCATCATAATACTAGGTAACATATTTAAACAAAAAGATTAAATGAAGGGTGTCTTTCCCTTTTTAGTAATATTAGGAATAAAAAACAAATCTATGCACACATATTGAACGTCTTTGTGCTTACAAACTAAATAAGTGCCAGGTAACAAAGGTTCATTGTTCAAGCTATCTCACAGTCACTTGTTAAGAGTTGCTTATATCAGAACAGAAAATTTGAAGTGTAGCGTCGAGCGAATTTTGGCAGCACGCTTTCCTACCTGCTATAATATATTTATGTGTCACTGTGCAGCGGCAGCCAGCGTTTGTTGCAGATGAGCATTTGGACGGCATTTACAGGAAATTGTCGGCAATAATAGGTGAAAGAGAGTATAGAAACATTAAGACTGGTAGTAAATAGATATCGTATTTATTTAGCATTATATTTTATTGAAACGCTCCAAGTGCCTGTGATTGTAACATTGACTGGCGATTGATCCACTGGCACTGCACTGCCACTTCCACTGGCTGGGAAATCTAGTCGGAGTCCGCCCCGACCACGCTCAGGCCATGGCATGCTACATACAGCACGTG